ACCTTACGTGGCAACCGACAGCGGAAGGGGGGTGGGGCTTGCGGACGAAGGTGTGGTTGCGGGTCGGACGAGCTCCTTGCGCCTTTGTCGCGCACTTTCAAGCCGCAAAAGGGGCGCGACATCAACGCTTGTCCGCCTGTCTACTACCCCGGGATGGAACAGGCGAGCGCGCCTAATCTCGGAGCATGCCTTAAGGAGTGCGACGGTCAGAAGGACGCAGCTGATGGCATGTACTTAACAACTGTTCACAAGGTTTTTATGTGAACCCAGGAATCGCTAGTTTACAGGGCCAACCTGGTCTCCAACTGTTTTCCGGAGTCAGGCGGTAAGTGGTAAGGGTAGAAAACCAATTTTCGAAGTTGGGTCAGAAGTCAGAGGTCTCAATTTCCTCTAACGCATTGCTATTGTTTCTAATCCATATTCATTTTCGCGCTTGCACTAATTGGCACTAAATTGTGAGCGCCACCTAGAATACAAAACTTTTCCATCATCAAGGATTGAATTGTAAATGCTGACAATCAAGATGCCCTTTATAACCGCCTCAACGCCTCGGCAAGAAATAGACCTCATTCTTGCGTTCCATGTATGTGCCCTTACGTCACGTGAAAACCGTTCCAAAAAGCGGTTCATGCTCTAGGCAAATTCTCATGTATGTTCAAAATAATCCTCTTCGAAAAGCACTGTTCTTTAAGAGCTTTTGTAATTTTAAAGAAAGGAATTACGTTAAGTGTTTGTGCAGCACGAAAATCATGCACCAGTGTAAGCAGTAACCAAGAAGAGAGAGAAAGATGTGACCTTCTCCGCGGTCAAAGGTGGCCAGTTGCACCGCACTGGAGTATGAAATCCTTTCTGTGCTGTGCTCCGCCCATCAGTGTATTTCTAGTAGCAGCATCGCTCGTTTTTCTCATTTTAAAAAGGTATTCCACTTTGAGCGTATTTTATGGGATGGGTAGAGCATGGGTCGAGAAGTACAAGACTGATCACCTGAGCGGAGCTCCGCGCGGAAATGGTCCCGACCACATGCTTCGGGCTCAGTTATAGATGAGCTCAGAGGAAGGAAAAAATGGTAAGACGTGCACTGAGTCGTTAAGTCAAATTGGGGAATCCCGCCCGTGGTGGAGTCGGTTGCAGAGAAAAATATCGGAGGTGGCCCCAGCACACGCCTGAGCTCGGCGGGAACCCACCCACAGTGAAGTAGCATTTCCTTCAAGTAAGTTCTAACCATTACAAATCCTCACAGGTCGAATCTAAAAGTATAGATACCGGGAAAAAAGTGAGCTTAGAGAAGAATGGAAGGTTGGATGTTGATGGTGGACGTGTCTGATTGAGCGGGGTTTGCCAGTGAACCTATAGTCAAAGTGGGTGGAGTTTGTTGCGAACAGTGGGGCCTCAAGAGAGTAAAAGACTGAGAAGAAAGTGGGTATGGGTTAGCGAACGAAGGGAGATTAGCGATTTTGCCAGAATGATTGTGAAATTATCAAGGGTAGTTTCATACCATGCAGTGTCGTGTATGCAAGCGAATGCGTTCGTAGTCAAACTTGTGAATTGATAATTTTCTCACCGTAGCATACTCTATAGTATGCAATAGCCTTCTGTTGCATTTTCACGGGAGGGTGATGTACCAAACGATGAAAAATGTTGTCCTCAACAGCAAATTTCTTGTCCATCTTTTTTGTACAGTTTTCCCAGCCGCCGAACTCCTTAAACATTATGCTTGCACTATCAATAAGCTAGGAAAAGAGACGAACCTACCTGGAAGAACTCTATTCGGAACTCCTTGAAGAAGTTTGTCACTTTTTTCTCGATCACTTCATTTGTGTTGTAAAACGACATATCGTCCTGATCACGATCTGAGATACGATTTCGCATCTCACATATACATCCAGAGAATATTTCCCCTTCTGTTTTTATACCGTAATTTTCCATAATAGCCTGGAAAACCGCGGAGTCAGACGGTCGTTGTGTACGCAGTTCATTGGTGAAATCAGTTGAATTTGAAGGCCAAGCTCTCGAACAGTGAACAGTGCATTGAGGCGGCGCTGAGATTGCACCTACAAGCTGCTCTTACCCTGAGACCACCTTTGTACTTTGAGAGCTGTTCCTCGGCAGCCTCTTTGTAATTCATCCAACCGTCAAGAGTCAAATATCTATCCATTTCCACTTCTTCTTGCTCATCAATGTCTTCGGAAATTCTCAGAACGTCCTCAATAGCCTTTATCCCTCTGAAAATCGATACGATCAACTTCATAATATTAGGTTGGTAACTTTGAAATGTCGTTTTTGATCAAAGATTATTCTTAAGTATAAAAGCTATACCAAAGCTTATCAACCTAATTTATTTCCTTTATGTGTATCATCCACTCTCCACCTTTTCTTATGCAAGGCAAGGAGGTCTACCTCGTAGAACTCTTCCAGGTACGACTCGAAGAAGTTAGGTACTCAAATTATGCAGGGTTTTCCACCCCAATTCGTAAACCCTGC